GAAATGTTTGTCGCAACAACTGAATTTTTAAATGAAAATGATGAAATAGATAAATCAAAAAGATGACTTGTTGAAAAAAATAAAATGAACATCTTGATGTCTTGATAAAAACTTTAAGAAATATTTCCCTTCAAATTTTAGTGTCAAAGAACTAATATATGGATTGTGAAAACTATTTAGAATTAATGTGGAAAATATTACTCATTTGCCATTAAAATCACAAGAAGAACTTGCTGATTTATCAAATAATTCGGGATTGAAACTTTATCTTTAATACGAAGTCTTCAGAAGATTTTTGGCTAGAAATTGCAAAAGATTTCCAACAATTTCTGAAACTGCCATAAACTTTTACCTTTTTCTACAACATATTAGTGAGAGACATTTTCGTCTCTAACCACCATAAAATCAAGTGTCAATCAAAAAAGTTTAAAAAGCCCTGATTTCTTACATGGTAAAAAGTGCATGCTTATGCAACTGAAGTATAATGGTTAGTGTAAAATATAACTTGGAGAGACATTTCATCAGTATGGTGTTTGCATAACATTTTCAAGGGAATGTTACATGAGTAATGAAATTCCAATTGCTATACTAAATCTCTCTCTGCTAGTACTTAAAAAGGAAAAACTCAAAGTTATCCGTTATCCTGATACCCCAATGCAACTGTTATATTTTATGACTTTAATTGTAAATAGGTTACTTAAATTAAATATCACAAAGCCTCGAGGGCTATCTGCGTAAGAGGAGGGATACCTTCATAGAGGCCTTTCTGAGGGAAACTGGCTCATATTTATGTTACACATGGGGTAACCACAAAAACCAACCATGCAGCCAACCTGTTCGCCTGGGACGGAACCCAAGCCAGGTCGAACTACCAGTATTCGGTTGTCTTAACCACTCAACCACTGGTGGGGCTCTTAATTCTAAATAGAAAAATTTATATTGCACTCCTGTAATACTCTTTTTAAATGAATCACATTTCAAGGAAACAAGCTCTGAAGTTAATTCAATATTACAAGTTTGAGAAAAAATTCAAACTTAACATTAGTATCCTGATCTTGTAAAAATGATTTTTTTTTTTTTTTTTAAAATTAAAAGGTCATGATGTTGTTGTGAATTATAAGACCTCATATGTAACATTGATATATTAGTTTTAACTCACCTTTATGTAATCTGCATGCATCCCATAAAGCATCCAATACTTCTGGTATCACTCTTGACAATGTTGTTAGTATTCTACAAATACTGTAAATTTATTAAATTTACCATGATAGAATACCTAAACAAACATTGTCAAGAGTGATACCAGAAGTATTGGATGCTTTATGGGAATGCATGCAAGATTACATAAAGGTGAGTTAAAACTTAATATATCAATGTTACATATGAGGTCTTATAATTCACAACAACATCATGACCTTTTAATTTAAAAAAAAAAAAAAAAATGTTCATTTTTACAGGATCAGGATACTAATGTTAAGTTGAATTTTTCTCAAATTTGTAATATTGAATTAACTTCAGAGCTTGTTTTCCTTGAAATGTGATTCATTTAAAAAGAGTATTACAGGAGTGCAATGTATAATTTTCTATTTAGAATTAAGAGCCCCACCAGTGGTTGAGTGGTTAAGACAACTGAATACTGGTAGTTCGACCTGGCTTGGGTTCCGTCCCAGGCGAACAGGTTGGCTGCATGGTTGGTTTTTGTGGTTACCCCATGTGTAACATAAATATGAGCTAGTTTCCCTTAGAAAGGCCTCTACGAAGGTATCCCTCCTCTTACACAGATAGTCCTCGAGGCTTTGCGATATTTAAATTTAAGTAACCTATTTACAATTAAAGTCATAAAATAATAGTTGCATTGGGGTATCTGGATAACGGATAACTTTGAGTTTTTTCTTTGTAAGTACTAGCAGAGAGAGATTTAGTATAGCAATTGGAATTTCATTACTCATGTAACATTCTCTTGAAAATGTTATGCAAACACCGTACTGATGAAATGTCTCTCCAAGTTATATTTTACACTAACCATTATACTTCAGTTGCATAAGCATGCACTTTTTACCATGTAATAAATCAGGGCTTTTTAAACTTTTTTGATTGACACTTTTGATTTTATGGTGGTTAGAGATGAAAATGTCTCTCACTAATATGTTGCAGAAAAAGGTAAAAGTTTATGGCAGTTTCAGAAATTGTTGGAAATCTTTTGCAATTGCTAGCCAAAAATCTTCTGAAGACTTCGTATTAAAGATAAAGTTTCAATCCCGAATTATTTGATAAATCAGCAAGTTCTTCTTGTGATTTTAATGGCAAATGAGTAATATTTTCCACATTAATTCTAAATAGTTTCACAATATCCATATTAGTTCTTTGACACTAAAATTTGAAGGGAAATATTTCTTAAAGTTTTTCTCAAGACATCGAAGATGTTCATTTATCATTTTTTTCAACAAGTCATCTTTTTGATTTATCTATTTCATCATTTTCATTTAAAAATTCAGTTGTTGCGACAAACATTTCTAACAAACCCTTTTCCATCATAGTTTTCCATACGGTCATTTTCTTAATAAAGCATCAATTTTTAATTTGAATATGACTATGTTGCAACCTTTTTCTTGAAACGACAAATTTAGATCATTTAGTTTTTCAAATATGTCACTCAAATAATGCAGCTTTTGTAGCCATAACTTATTATGAATTAAATTCGCAAAATCAGATTTTTGTTCAGTTAGAAAGAGAACTTTTATTGCCTTATCTTATCTATTTTCAGATACATTGTGTAAAAATATTTGGTAATTGTAAAATTATTGGAATAAGTTAAAGGATTATCAAAAACTGCTAAAATGTTTTGGCGACCTCCTATGGGGGTCGCGACCAACAGTTTAAGAAAATAATTTTAAGTTATAAATGAAATTGTTTTTCCCACTCAACATTAAAATATCTCGTCAGCTTCTTAAAATTTTAAAATTGTTTTGCAGGCACCAGTTTGTTGGTCCATGCTCTAGATTATAATTTGACTCAAATTCTAGAATGAACCATTTTCAATGGTGTTAGTCTGTCGTAATGTTGTTTATGCTTTTCAGTATATTTAAATAAAATTTTCATTTATAAGAAGAGATATGATTATTTGATTTTGGAAAAATAAACATAATAAACATAATAAACATTGTTTTTATAATTAGGGAGGCATCTAGCAATAGAATGTAGGAACTGCAGAGATTGCATTGGACAGCAAATTGACAACCTAGTATCAACCCTGTATAAAACACATAATGAATCTGCTAAATTGACCACCTATGGGTTCATCCAAAATTCTTCAATAGACACTTTTAGTTTTGAGTTTTCTTCAAATTAAGAAGCATATATATTCAGTTATAAAATGTTTTAAACATGTTGTTTAAATGAAAATTCTGTTTTCTGTGTACAAACAAGCATAAGCCCTTTTTGTTTATTGTATTATTGTTTGTACAACAACAGCTTATTTTTTAATCATTTATTTTCCAAAAATTATCAGTTTTTCTGTCTGTATGGGTATTGTGATCAAAAACATTCATTTACCCACAGTCACTTAGCTTTAATTCCATTTATTGTATCTGACACATTCATTACTTTAAAAACTTTAAATAGAATCTATGGTGTAGCTTAATCAAAAACAAGAGAGAAAAAAATGGGGAAAAATTAGATAAAAAGTGAAACATAGGAACACAACCAAAATATATAAGCACATTTTTTTATCTATTTCTCTGATGTGAATTTTATTATAACAAATGAGTAGCTAATATTCGTTGATAAAATATTTGATTTTACTATTTGCCAATATTCAAATAGCATTTTCTGCATTTATATTTTGTATTCGCATCCTTTTTTCAGTTTCATAATTTTATACTTATTTTCTCATTTCGTAGACACCAAACACTGCTCAGGAGTGGCAAGCCATAGAAGAAGCTTTTGCTGAAAAGTGGAACCTGCCACACTGTGTTGGTGCCATCGATGGAAAACACGTTATGATAAAAGCACCAGCAGGGGGTGGCAGCACTTTTTACAATTATAAAAGTTTCAACAGCATTGTGCTGATGGCATCAGTTGATGCAGATTATAAATTTACATTTATTGATGTTGGATGTAATGGACGAATATCAGACGGAGGAGTTTTTGCCCAAACAAGTTTATTTTCGATGCTAGACAATAACTTGCTTGATCTGCCCAGCCCAACACCTTTGATTCCAGGTAGTGAGCCTGTGAATTATTTTATGGTTGCAGATGAGGCGTTTCCTTTGAAACGTTATCTGATGAGGCCATATCCTGGTAAAAAAAATCTCTCCTCAGCAAAGGATTTTCAATTATCGACTGTCCAGGGCAAGGCGTGTTGTTGAAAATGCATTCGGGATATTATCAAATAGATTTCGTATCTTGATGCAACCAATACAGCTGCCTCCTGCGACAGTTGATAAAATTGTTTCTGTATGCTGCTGTTTGCATAACTTTCTACGAGAAAGACCGTCCAGGCAATTGTATACACCAAGAGAACTAATCGATCATGAAGATGAGGACTTTAATTTTATACCTGGATCATGGCGAAATGAGGAATCGCTAAGTAAGATGAAATCCCTGTGTAAACAAAATGGTTATAACACAGGGTCTGCTGAAGCAAGGCTAATGCGAGAAAAAATTTGCGATTATGTAAATAATGAAGGAAAAGTTGCGTGGCAAGATAAAACATATAAAATATTATTAATTTCCCTGATTTCTCAATATATGTTATAAAAATAAAAAATAAAGATTATTTATAAGTATTTTTATTTTATGTTACAAAAAATGTGGTAAGTAATAAATATATCTAAGTTTCTTATTTATTCTGTGTTGTTCATGGAATCTAATACATTTTGTTCTGTCTGTGCATCTGTGAGAATTTGGTATATTTTATATTTTGTGTCTGTGAGGAGTTGAGGGTCACGGATTAGACTTAGTTCGGAACCAACAAAGGAACCGAACTGTGTAAATGTAAATGTATTTGGAGTAGTGTTTTTTGATTTTAATATTGTAGAAATTTCTTCCAGTGTTGTTGTGGCTGCTGTGTAAATGTGATCGTGTTTCTGTTTTTTGTTTGAAGTTGTAGTGTTTGATGTGTGTCTTTTTAGCTGTGGTAGTGTTTGTGTATGACATAGTTCTCTCTGTGTCTCTTCAGTGTCTGTCTTCAAAATCGTTCATGTCAAACATCTCCTCAGAATGACTGGTAACTTCTGCACTTCTTTCTTGTGTACTAGTATCATTAAAATCCTGAAAATTAAAATAACACTTTAATTTTTACTATTACAGCTATCATTCATTCATATATAACAAATCATAATTAACAAGCTATGGGAAAACATGCAGAAATAAATATTTATAAGGATAATGAATATATTTCCTAAGCTTGATTTTTCAAGAGATATCAAAGTTGAATAGTCAAATATCTTGAATAAGAATACGAAAAAAAACCTCGTAATTCTGCTGTCTAAGTTGTAGCGTATTTGGTATCAATAAAAACATGCAATACATATATTTAAAAGAAAATATATAAGAAGTTAATGCTTATGTTTAAGTATGTTAAAAGTAACAAAATATTGACTAACTTATGTCTGATTTAGCTGTGAATATAAGTTTATCATTGAAAATGGTATATATATATATATATATATATATATATATATATAAACTGAGAAGAAAGCAAAGCTAATAATTACTACAGTAAAAAGAAATAATTTGAGTGTTTTTAAAAGAACAGTATCTGTGCATGTACATCCCATATTTTTATAACTTTTCAATGTGAAGCGGAGTTGGACTTCATTTACTTGTAAAAACTTGAACAATATGAGTAAGATTTTGATAGTAATAATTACTTAAAATGCAATAAGAATTCATGTTTCTCTATTAATATTTTAAAATTAGAGGTAGTCACATATTATCTCAACCACCTTAATAAAAATTGCCATACTCTGCACATAAAAATTTCACAGGCAACCTTGTTCATAAAAATCCTTCAGTCAAGCAATGTTTCAATTGTTGTTTATTTTTGTTGTATTTGGAATTCTAATGATTTTGACAGACATCGTAATTTTTTTGGGGGGAGTTGGGAACCTTTAACTTACTTTTAAAATATCACTTGTGGAATCTGCCAGCAATGGAAGAAACTGCAGTAAAAATTCTGCAGAATATAGTATTTTGTCACAAAACCGTTAACGCAAACAGCGATGAGATGTGTTTGGTAAACAGTTGATGTGCAGTACAAGTTTATGCAATTTATTGGTTTTTTAAGTGAAAACAGATCACTGTGTACATGGAGAAAAGAATAACGCTAAAAGTTAGAGAAGTATTTTGCAAATTCATAAGTGTTTTATTTTTTAGTACTTAACATATTAGCGTAATCACCTCAAGTTTGGCAAATTTTTATAAATGAAAAAGAATGAGGGTAATGTTGCTTGACTGAAGGAATGTTTATGAGCATGGTTGCCTAAAGTATTGTTATGCTCATGGTCGACAGATTTTAGCACATTCTGGAAATTTAAAAGAGCTTGTACTAAAGTGCTTGTGATAACATGTAAGAACCTATTTTTTAATGTATCATATAATTTTTACTTAATAATTAAAATTCATGTTTAGATTTTTCGGCTTTTTTCGGTAGGTCGATAATACTTTGCTGACTTACTATCAGATATTTAGGAATGGTTTTTTTTAAAAAAAGTCACCACTAACTTGTACCAGTAAGTAATTTTTACCTTTACATTTATAAAGACCACCAAATATGTGACAAGGTGGTTGTGTTAATACATGAGTACCAAAATAGACTTACGAAGAGAAATTTAAGTACCTTAACTCTCATTTCAAAATAAATTACATATGCTTTTCTGGATGTTAGACTAATTGATTAAGACAACGCAATTCAAGGACTATCTGCCTATAGAGAGGGATGCTTCATAGAAGAATTTTTAGGGAAAAATGGCTCGTATCCATGTTCTGCATAGGAAAAAACAAAAACCAACCTTACAGTCAGCTTATTTGCTGGCATTCGAACACTGGTCAAATTACCAGTTATTTAGCAGTTTTACTGCTCAGCTATTTTGGAAATTATCAATAGAATATCATTCATTGGAAAAAAGATTAGGTCTTCATATAAATTCAAAATATAACTTCTACTAACTCTGACACTTCTGATTTTAGAAATTAAGCCCTGGTCCTATCCACTTTTACCTATACTTTAATGGTATTGACTTTAATGGGAAATGGGATTATTTTTAAGTAAATGAGCTTAAGAATAGTCTTTAAAATATAAAGATTTCATTTAAGAAATTAAATAGCACACATAGTTGTAAAAGGATAAATAAAATAATACTTTTGTACTGAAGTTATATAGAAATTGCTGTGAGTGTGAACTTTTGCAGATGACCCATCTGCTGCATGAGCTTGAAGATTTGGCTAATATAATTTACACAGCTAAGTATGTATAACAATATTATTTTATTTATCACAAAAACTGTTAAAGTTTTGCCTATATTAAAAACAATTCTATAAATTTTCAAATAGTAAAGGGAAATTATTTACTTTATAAGCCAAATTATATAAATTTAAAAAGTAATCACTTACCAAAGAAGTCACAGTATTCCTTAAGGACACGACATCACTTAAAAATTGTAACGATGTGTAAAACTGCCATGCCGATTTGTACTGCATGGCAGTGCTTGCACCAGATGTATAATTTTTTTTTCTCTTTATGTTTCTCCTTTGTAAATTGAGTACGCAGGTTACTCCATTTTTTTTTTTTAATTTCATTTTCTGGAACGCATATTTGTGTGCTTAAGTCCTGAAATGTTAAAATAACCATGCTTCAGAAAAAGTAAATAACTACTGTGCTTTAAATGATAACCTTTACTATTAAATAAATAGACAATAATGTTATGAAAACCGCAACAATATGAGTAAAAAGTACTAATACAGAATAAAGATTACTATAGTAGAAAGGAATAGTGTAATTTCAATACAAAAATTTCAAATAAGAAATATAAATATGCAAAATCTTAAAATAGCATATCATACTGAATATTAAAAAATACTATCGGTATAGTTTAATAACTACAGTTCTGAAAACTGTAATCATATTGCTATATCAGTTAATCAGCTAATAAAATTGAGCAATATTGTATTAAATTGAGCTGCTGTAATTTGTTTAACCAACAACATAAAATAATTTTCATCACGAATAAAAAAATATTTGATTATAAAGTAACGGGAAGATAACTTACCAAAATAAGGGAATCCTTTAACTTTTTATTTTTATAATTTATGTTATTTGTGTCCCACAACACAGCATGGTCTCTATAAAAATCAATCAATTGAAAAATTTGATTTTCGCTCCAACGAAAAAGCGCCATGTTTCCAAAATGATTCCAAAATGAGAGAGAAAAGCACGTGATCTCTGGAAGCAATCTAATTGGCTAGAGTCGCCGATTTTATCGTCGGCTAGTGAGCGGTGAACACTAGCTCTGAAATCGTCGCAGAGAACATGACAGATTTTTAGCGCATGCGCACATCCTGAAAATTGTTCCTCTGCGAGAAAGTCGGCCGATAAAATCGGTACGTGTAGACGGGCCTT